TCCCAGCAACTGCTTGATCCAATATCTCCCTCTGGTGGAAAGTAGGGAATAGAGCAGGATAGACTACAGCAGCAGACAACGTAACAATAGCCACTTGATTGCTGTGAAAACAATACAAATCTCGGTCCAGGCCATGATGTTATCTCTAATTGCTGCATTTATTCCTAATGAATTTTCAGTTTATCTCAAATAGTCCTTGACTGGAAGAGAATGGTAATGAATGGTGAATGCCAATTTTCCTGTATTTTCCAGAAATTTGTTTTAAGCAGAGTCAAAAGCCTGTATGAAGATAATATGACTTCATGGCATTGTTTCTGTGAAGAAAATCAACAAAATTCTCTGTTGCAGAAAACTATTATTTTGTGCTAACGCTCTAAAATCCATCACACATCCCATCTGCTCTCTGGAATCGCAAGGATTGATAAAAATGTCTCAAAATATAATAGTTCTCTTTCTATACCACAATTACACCTTTGAAGTTCCATGTGAGTGTGACAGATTGGTTGCCATCTGCCGAGGGTGCCTCTTCAATGTAGATCAGAAAGTGTGGATAAGGAGGAAATACTCAAGAACAGTTTGGATAGCTTATGTCCAGACATGCATGGGCTTAAGGAACAGCACAGGCATAAAATGCTTTACCCAGGTGACAGCTAAGTCTTTCTTTCAGGACACCTTTCATCAGCACAGGCAGGTCAGGGAGGTTTAATGAACCTTCCACTGTTAATGCTCTCCTACATGTGAGTGTTTCTCTGACACTTGTTCTGTGATTCCAGATGAAATCTACAGAGCTGATGCGGCACCACAGACAGATTCAAGATCAAAACAGAGTTTTCAAAATTCCTCAGCTGCTGGCTCAGCTTCAGCTGGAGCTGGAGAGGCAACAGAGCTTTGCTTCTGCTCCTGGCACAAGTCTTGGGTGAGGAGCAGAAACTCAGGGATGGCTGATGAGATATTGCTGGAGACTGACACCTGGGGCTGGGCAGCTGAAGCAGGACTCATCTCAACAAACTTCAACTGCCTGAAAGCAGTCAGTGTCAGTGAGCTGGCCTGAAGGCTCTGAAATAGTGTGACTCCCCTTGTGGACAGGTGTACACATGGCACAGGGCAGCAATGAATATGTATCTAGGATATATTTTAGATTATTTAAATCTTCCATGCCCAGGGAAGCATAACAGTAGAATGTTCAGTTATTCCCAAAATATTAGGGCATACTATTGGCAAATTGAAAGCTTTTGGAACAAAAAATATGAGGTTTCTGAATAGAATGCTCAGTCTTTGTGTGGCATGCCTTTAAGCAGGGAGAAAACCTCTGTGAGGAGTAAGATTTAAAAAAGAATTTCAAGCTAGAAACTGGGGAAGCGAGGAGGAAGAGAGGAGCAGAGAATCACGGTGACCTTTGTTTAAAGGTGCCATTTTGACCTCTTTATAATCACAAGTCAGAAATATCAGACATATTCCAGAAGGAAGATAATTACTGGGTCATTGTAATAGCATGATAAAAATTGCATGGGAAAGAACTAAAATAGATCCCCTCCAAGCTAGGAAAAGGACATGAACTCTGTCAAATTAAAAGCAGAAACAGAGAGGAAGACTAAAAAAATATTTTGAGGAAACTTGCTACTAGACAAAAAGCCTCCTCTATTCCAGCAGGAGCTGGGAGCCTGCTGGAGAGTTCTGCAGGTGACCAGGGTGTGCAGTCAGCAGATGATCAAGGTGGCAAAGGAGTTTGAGAGGAAACACGTCCTAACACAACAGCTAAACAGATTATTGTTTAGTAATTGTGTCTGTGTTCAGAGCAGAAAAGCTTAGTGAAATTCCCATGGCAGAACCATTTGTTAAAGGGATAATGCAGGGAAACTGTCTCAGATTGAAGGGTTGTTAGATGAGGCTTTAGAACAAATAAATGCAAGGGATAGTAGCAAATTCCTGAAAAGCAGATGTTACTCGCCTGTGGGTTTTTAAGGAATGCTAATGGAAATGATTGCACTATAAGAGCTAGTGTATAAGCTTTTACTTAAAACCGCTAAAGAAAAAGGATGGCAAATGATACTGTTTTCTTTTAAGTGCTGTAAGGGATCTAGAGAAATGCAAACCATTAAATCTGACACTTGTGGTAGGCAAACAGCAAAAGCCATAGTAACAGAATAGTTGCAAGGAGAGACACAGAGCAAGAGGGGAGAATTGGCAGAGCTTTACAGTGAGAGCCTATGAAGCTGTGCTGCACCACCCTCTGACGGCTTCAGAGGAAACTGTGAAGCTGCAGATGAGAGCAATCCGCTCACTATGATCTGCTCAGCTTCTAGAAAGCCTTTAACAACATCTGTCACTAAGGACCCACTAAGAAGCTAATCTGGCACGGGGTAAGAGGGAAGATCCTCTCATGAGTCAGCAACTGCATACAGGATAAGAGACAAGGTAAGGATAAATCATCCATTCTGCACAGTGGAGAGAAGCTGCCAATTGCATCTTAGAGGGATCGTGGTAAGGCCAGTGTTCATCCACAGAGCCATCAGTCAGGCAAATGGCTGATCTGCTGGTGGTTTGTTCAAGGCAGTAAAATGCAAACTGCCTAAAGGAGTTGTAAAAACCTTCTCATGAGTTTACACAAAGTAACGGCAGGTGAAAATCAGTACAGGTAACAGCAGAGAAAAACACCTGGCTGAGCTGGGAGGAAGACTGCCTCACTACACAGCCACAGCCATGGCCTCTGAAACACCTAGTACTACTCAGGACAGGTATCTGGTTGTCACTTAAATGCTTATTAGTTACTATAAAGCATTTAAATATATTATGAAGGGAAGAGGGGTCATAGAATTATGGAATGGTTTGGGTTGGAAGGGACATTAAAGATCATCTAGTTTCACCCCCTGGCATGGGCAAGCACACCTTCTATTAGACCAGGTTGCTTAAAGCCCCATTTAATTTGGCCTAGGATGCTTCCAGGTATAAGGCACCCACATCTCTAGACAACCTGTGCCTGGGCCTCACCACCCTCACAGTGAAGAAATTTTTCTGATCTAAATCAACCTTCTTTCATTTTAAAGCCATTCCTCCTTGTTCTGTTACTACAGAACCCTGCAAAAAGTCTAACTCTCTTGTAAGCCCCCTTTAGGTACTGGGAGGTGCTTCAAGGTCTCTCCAGAGCTGTCTCCTCTCCACGCTGAACAACCCCAGCTCTTTCAACCTACGTCCATAGGGAGAGGTTCTCCAGCCCTCTGATCATCTTCATAATCTCCTCTGGACTCTCTCCAGCAGGTGCATATTCTTCTTATGTTGGGGTCCCCAGAGCTGGAGGCAGCACTTGAGGTGGGGTCTCACAAGAGCAGAGCAGAGGGGCAGAATCACCCTCCCAAACCTTCTGGTCACTCTGCTTTGATGTAGACAAGGATACACTTGGCTTCCTGGGCTGCAAGCACACATTGCCAGGTCATGTTGAGCTTCCCCTCAAGCAACACCTCCAGGTGCCTCTCCTCAGGGCTGCTCTCAGTCCATTCTCCACCCAATCTGTATTTGTATTTGGGATTGCGCCAACCCAGATGCAGGACCTTGCACTTGGCCTTGTTGAACATGACAAGGTTTGCACAGTCTCACCCCTCAAACCTGCTAAGATCCCTCTGGATGACATCCCTTCCCTCCAGTGTCTCCACTGCACCCCACAGCCTGGTGTCACTGGCACACTTGGTGAGGGTGCACTCAGACCCACTTCTGTGTCACTGACAGATTTTTAACAGCACCAGCCCCAATAGTGACCCCTGAGAAATATCTTCACTTGGGACACCAGCCCCTCCTTGCTGACAAAAACAGGGTCCATAATAGCACCTCACCTTGTTAGTTGCTCTGTCACTTGGAGAAGGAACCTCCTGGATTACTTATGCTTTACTGTGCTGTCTTCTCCAACAGGTATGTCCCCATGAGGATCAGGGCTTGTGAAAGTGAGGCAATTATGTATTATGTAAACCAAGATTCTTCAAGGTGGAAAGAAGAGTCTGAGAGAGAGTCTGGTGGAACTCTATAAACTCAAATGAGTCACTACCTCTCAGAACATGCAAGAATGGGGCATCAGATGATGGTTTTAGGTTCAAGACAAAGATGAAGGCAACAAGCTCTGCTCCCAGATAAAGAAGTTTCTCCCTTTACAGAACCTGTTTTCACAGGATGTTGGGGAGTATAGAAGCACCATAAATGGTTTTAGAAGCAAGTCAAGTCAACAACTGTGAGGAAGATAAATCATCTGAAACATTAAGCTACCCCTCAGATAAGGAAGACCATAGACCAGAAGTGGCTGTCCTCCCTGCTGGGCATGAGCAGAGATAGGATACTAGATGGATAAGCTTTGCAGCCAAACCTGTTTGACACTGTATCAATCAGACAATTTTTTAGAAGTAGATTAGAAGAAACCCCATCACCCTGCAGAGAAGAAGCGCACAAGCACAGCTTTCCTTTCTTATGGGACTATGATCACCTTATAGCATTAGTACCATTTCTTGTTCCAGGATAAGTTACACTGTTTGCTATTTTAAAACTTAAAATAAAGATTAAGAAAAAGAGCCCATTCTTACATTCTTTTTCCATGTACTTTTATGTTCTGTGTTAGCTGAGGACAAAGCTGCAGTTTGACAAGCCCTACGCCAACACTGCTGCCAAAAGCAGCAGCTCTGCCCTCTCATACCACTGGAAAGGACAAATGGGAGGGGAGGGACAATGGGGGAGAGCAAAATTAGGTTTCAGAGCTGAGAAAATGAGGATTCTCTTTCTTATTCTTCTTCAGCCCTGCTGAGGACAGGGCTGGCTTAGGCTGGTCCCAGGTGCTTATTGACCCATAATTTAATTTGGTGATATTTCTTCTGACAGCTGTTCCTTGCAAATGATAACTGTCCTCATCCTCCTGAGAACAGCAGGAGTTGGTAGCTGAATGTGGCCTTTCTTGGCCCTGTCAGGCCATCCCAAATTAAAGAAAATCCCTTGCTTATGAAAGGAAACACTACAGAAGTGACCGTTGCTCCATTATTAGAACTTTATTTATCAGTTAATTTTAATCACTGGAATTATTGAAGGATTTTGAATGGTTTTGTAATTCTATGGACAAAAAAGCTAGACAAATGGATGATAACACTCTCAAGTGAGCCATTAAAGATTTAATGAGTCTTTAATCACTAAGAGTCAGACCTGTGCTTTGATGGTAAGATTCAGTTTTGGGGAGTGATTATCTTCAGACACATCAAAGGGTTTGAATTGCTGAGGGGAGTGTAAAGCCCAACAGAGCCTCTGCCATGGAGCCAGCAGAGGACTCAGCTTTCTTACAGCAGAGGAGCTTGCTCTTGTCCAGTTACAGACAAATTTTTCCTCAGAGTGTTTATCTAGTCTTAAATAGCTCTTCTACGAAACTGATGCTGGTGTTAGAATCCTTGTTGGTTTGTCTCCAATTTATTCATATCAGCTGTTGCAAGGAAAGCAGACAGTGTTGTTGTGAAGTAGAAAAGGGATGTTGCATTCCCCAGCCCACTCTGAAAAATCCTCTTCAGTATAACAAAGGCCATATGAATGTTGCAGTGTGGGGGAGGAGGGGAGGGGCTGGGGGGAAATCATTGGTGTCTGAGAGCAAAATCTGAAGGCCTTGAAGGAAAAAACAAGCATGAGAAAAGACATACAAAACTGTAGCTCATGTGGGGCAATATTAGCAGAAACTTTAAGTTCCCTGAGGTGCAATATGAGCAAATGCTGTGATGGGTATCACAGACCTGCTCTTAAAATCACATTTGCCTGGTTACTGTGTGTGACAGTGACCTAATGCTGCTTTCTGTAAGAGCTGACCTGGAGCACTGTAATGTGGCACTGCATGGGGTTTTCTTTTCCTTTTAAATCATATAGACAATGATAAAATTTGTTAGCAAGGTGGCAGAAACAAAGGCAATTCTAGATTAGATTTGGTACAAGTGGAGACAACCTATTTTTACTGAATCTGAGCCTACTGCATCTGACACCCTTTAGATGCAGGTGCAGAAATGCTAAATTGATGTTATTTGTATTATACTGCAGCAACCTGATCCCCGTTATGTGAAGAGTATTTATGTATCTAGTCTTTTCCACATGAGACTAGGACAAATACCCAGGGCAGGTAGAGGAGATGATCAGCTGGGCAAATAATCAAAACATGATCAAAACATCATGCCTTTCCGAGGTGGTTAAAGATACCACTGAGTATCTGCACTGGAACAAGATGTTGAGTTAGTTCCCTTCTATACAGTAATGGACTTAAAGCCCAAGCTGCTACTAGGAGATGCAGCACTGGCTGTAAATGGAAAAGGAGCCTTTGGGATTCAAAGCTTGGCTCTTGATGAGGACCCTTGCAGAGCAGAAACGCACTCTTCCACCAGGGAAGCAGCCTCTTTGGCTGTGCCCCAGTGCACTGAAAAGCCACCTGCCCCATGCCCATAGTTGTGAACCACTGGGAGCTTAACTCGTCCTTTGCTCAAAACCTCTCTCTGCACTCTCACACTCTGCCTCGATGGCCTCAGGCCCACCTTCACCGTGATATCCTTAGCTCCCTGCAGTGAGGGCTCAAGGGAGCAGCATCTGTCAAAGATGTCTCTAGTAGTGCCAGCATCAGGGGAGAGACTCCAGCTTCCCTTTTCCCTGGTTCCCCCCAGGGTCACCCTGTGTATCCCTGGGTAGATGTAAGTTAAGCCATCTCCATCCCGGATGAACTGTGTCACCCAAGGAGCGTGAACCTTGAGCACTTGTCCCCTGACAGGGAAGAGCTGCTTGTCCCCCACCAGCTGGTGTGCTCCCATGCCTGTGCAGTTGACAATGATGTCATAGTCACTGTGCAGCTCCCACAGGTCTGCCACTTTCCTGGTGTATATCTGGGTGCCAGTTGCTTTCAACCTGCAAAAAGTGAGGCAGAAAAGAAACCCCTAAAGCCTTATGTAATTATTGTGAACATTAATTAATGAGATAGATTGCCTTTGCCTTTACATACTGATCAAGAACAAACAATAGCTAGGACAAAAAGCAAAGAAAATGCCATGGGGGTTCTGTTTGTGATTGGTATGATTTGATCAGAGGTATTTAGCCTGGTTGGGCTTGAAAAAGTACAGAAAGCTGAGCAGTTTTAGAGAAGGGTCTGGCATCAGACCCTAGGCAAACAGTCAGGTCTTCATGGTCTGATTCATTTTGGTAACAGTATCAAGCTTTAACAACAGCCCAAGCAATCTGGGAAACAACAGATTTATTTACCAATTTGCTCATGCTAGTGGCAGAGCTATTGTCCTACCTCCTTTTTAATGTGTCTGTTATATGTTGTCACATTCATTCCCAACTCACCTCCTGAGCTATGTAGCCATCTAGTGCAATGTGCCAAGCCCTAAGATCTGCACTAAGGCTGGGCAGATGTGGCACAGGACCCTCAGGGTGCCCATAACCTTCTGGAGCAGCAGCCAGGAGTCACCCAGGATGGCTCAGAGCACTATACATACATGTCTGCTCTTCAGCAAAAGTCACCTCTTCTTGAGATTCATTTTTGAACTCAATTTCAAGTCATATCCTCCCCTGAACTTGGCCTGAATTTTGAAGCCCTTCCCTGTGGAAAATCACTGGTCCCTGAACACTGTCAGCTGGATCCCACTGCAGGGGGTTTTTGCTGGGGGTTTTAGCATAAGCAAGTCAGGATACAGATCTGTGAGGCACTGAGTGGAAAATCCCATCCTCTGCAACATTCTAGCAGCTGGCAAAGTCATCAACTCTACTATGAAAGCAGTGGTTTCCCACAAAGCAGTAAGTGAGCCAAGAATCCAGGGCATGGTTGATGCTCTGGGGCCTGATGTAGCAGGACACTGAAGCTGTCTACAAAGAACAGAGGAGATGTCATGCAGCAGCTGTGGCTGGGCAACTTGCAGGAAGAGCTCCTAAACGTTGTAACTAGGACCCTGTCACCATGCCATAAAAAAATACACCAATGAAAAAAACTGCTGAAAACTCCTGAATTCGGGCAAGTAAGCAGGAAAAAATTCCTGAAGTCTATTTTTGGCCAAGCAAGGTGGGCACAACAACAATTTTCCTTGTGGATTGCCAGGAGAATGGTCTATAAATACTGCTCAGGTCACTAGGGGGTTGAGAATTAGTTACATGTTTAATATTCTCTCACTTCTCATCACCAGGGAGGAAAAAAAAAAAAGAGCTTGATCATCTCATTAGATTCCATCCTTTGAGAAATAAGGAGCGAGCAGAAATCACATGGCAGATACTAAATGGGTTGTACAACTTAGCTGTCCTGCAGCAGAAATTTGCTTCAGTTAGGCAATGAAACATGACAGATGATGTGTACCGAGTAGATGGCACAGACCTCACATGGCACTGGTGCCACAGGAGAACTCCCAGCCCGCTTGGCTGCTACAACAAGAAATGCTTTTTCACATTTTGCAGTGTGATGAAAGGCATCCAAGTAAGCAGCTGAGCTGGCAATTTGTACCTTGGTGTCAGTACACATCTCTTTACTTAACCCCAAATCAGCTTGCAGCCTGTCTCTTTCTCTCAATCGGATACAGCCCATTTGCTCACTTTAGAGGTACTTACTTGGATTAAATACTTACCCCAGTATATCCCAGGGTGTCAAAGCCCTTTTAGATCTGCATCCTGTCTCTCCTATGGTTCTCCAAAATTGAGGTATTGGGGGAAACTTAAAAATTTGGAAATTGGCAGATTTTCTAACTTTGATGTCAATCCAGGCATGAACTCTGAAGTCACAACTCCTCAGAGTGAGTGCATCACTCACCTTATGTAGGCAAACTTTTTCAATAAATTTTTTACAAGATGATGCTGTTTAACATTTTGGGGTTTTTTTTTTCACCCAAATGGATTAAGAAATTACTCCAATGTTGAACAAATTTGAGATTAATTGGTCCAGCTACTTCATAAGAGCAAAGTGTTCACAATAAGACACCTTCCTACATGTGCTTATTCTCACAGGGACTGGATATATCTTCAAAAACAGAGGGGTATTATTTGGGAAGTTTGGCAAATGTGGAGCAGCCAAATGTTTTCTCAGGACACAGCAGGTCCCTGATGTACCTTCAAGGTCTGGCTGGCCAAGCATGGCCCCTGTGGGCCCCTGTGGTTATGTTGGCCTTATGCCCAGGGTCGTTCACACTCCAAGCCCCACTGTACAGACACACTGGGACAAAGTGAACATTGCATAAATAGGGCCTTGCACATTTCAGAAAAGTTCTGTATTTATTTCCTGTGCTTCTCCCCAAGCAAGAGCTCGTTGCATTTTCAGCAATGAGAAACATCCTTTTCTCAGTTTTGTCTAAATCTATGGCTCTCAAGGAAACCCTGTCTTGTCTCCAGTCCCTCTGCCAGGGTTTCCCTCTGCATGCCCAGCCTGCAGCAAATCCTACCTTTTCTCCAGCCACAGCAGGTAGGATGAGCAGTCACATTTCAGGGTTGTAAAGGCCTGACCAAATTGGTGCTGCGGGAACTTCTGGAGTTCTGCTTTGGACATTGGTCGAAATCCCAGCACAATATCTGACCAGAAAGGTAACTCTTCCTTGGGGGTGCTTTTAAAGATCTGCCAGCTAAAAAGACAGAGAAAAATATGGGAAACTTCACTGCTATTGCTCTGGCATGTCATGTGTCATGGAAATCTTAGAACAAACCCAGGAGCTCAGGAATCTCTTTCCCTCCATTAGTGCAGCTCTGCAAGGCTAACAGCATTGGGAAAAATTGCTGCCTGCTCCTGCAACACCTGCCTGGGCAAACAGGCAGAAGGTCAGCACAGCTGAGCATGAGGGTGGCCCACCAGGGTAAATAAACTACAAAGAGCTCTTCCAGTGGTGGTGTATGTATAGAGTGCCCTCATACAGTGTCCCCACCACAACTGCAGACACCTGGCTGGACCTGCTGGGGCCACTTGCACACCTGTTCACCATTCCTTGGGTATCCATAAAGCTACAGTGCTCAGTCTCAATACTCCTAAGAGGCAAATTTCTCAGTACTTAATAGGCAGCATAAAACAGCCCCAACACACACATCCCCCAGCAGAATCCCTGTACATAGTTGCTGAAGCTGGAAGATCCTGCAATCCTATCCCTATGGAGATGATCCCTGCTGCAAACAACTAGTGGGTGACAGTGTGGAAAATATTGGTTATTAAAAGATATTTGGTGCTGGTCAGACTTGAGTGGGTCTTCTGTGCACACCTGTTCCTGAATGTTGCCTAAAAATACATCCTATGAGAGCAGCTACAGTGCAGTTTCTTGGGAATACAGACATAAAAGCTATTCCTTGAAGGGAATACCCCTGAATTCTAGCAAAGAAAACCTCTCTGTCTGCTCCAGAACACAGCACAAATGTACCCAAGGCTGCCCCAGGGGCTGTTCTTACCCAGAGACCAGGTGAATGCCAGCCTCTGATGCCTCGGCTGAGTTGCTGATGGCAAAAAGGTAGGTGAAGGTCTCTTTGAACCATTGCTTCTGCCTCTGGAGCGGTGTGTCTGCATGGGAACAAGACCAAACGTGCAGAGAGGAATAATGCAAAGAAGAGAAGCATTCAAATGAGTGTCAAGGATATGGGACAGACAGGGAACACAGGTCATGACTCTTTTTCCTGGATACAGCTGCATGGGGTGCCATGGGCAGTGCTGCCCTGAATTAAACGAACCTGGGTAGATATGAGGGATGAGCATCCCAGCTGCCACATCACTCGTTGTGTTGGGGCTGAACTGGTCTGACAGGACTGTCACAGAGCAGCTGGGACAAGTCTCTGTGATGCACAGTGCTGTGGACAGGCCGATGACTCCTGCACCCACCACTGCAACCTTGGCTGAGGCCATCTCCAGGATGCAGAGCCAGAGGAGAGAGGATCCTACCTGCATTTGGAAACAACATATCACACGTCACTATCACCCAGGGCAAGTATCAGGCTATGAAATACCCACACAAGATCTAACATAATCCCTCCCCAACAATTAACTGAAGGTTAACTGCTGTGCACAACCAGGGCTGTGGTTAGGATTTAAAAAAATCAGCCTTTGATATGACAAAAAGTTTTGAAAAGTCTTTAAGCAGCCACTGCCTCATCCTCTGCACAAGAGAGTGATCTGCACGTGGATCGTTAGTGCTTGGGCTGGTTCAGGGAAGGTTTCCTCAATAAAATCTGAGGGAGTGAGGACCCATTAAGTTTTCTATTGTGTCAGGTGCAAAAGGCACATAGCTCTGGAGAAACTGGCTTTTTTTAGGGAAGGTTTCCTCAATAAAATCTGAGGGAGTGAGGCACCCATCAAGTTTTTTATTATGTCAGGTGCAAAAGGCACAGAGCTCTAGAGAAACTGGCTTTTTTAAAGCTTGTTAAGCCAAAAGGTTACTTGAATATTGGGATCTCCAGCAGTGAGAGCTATCACTGCTGGGCAGCAGAAGCAAATCACACTGGATTGGAGACCTCCACACTGGAGGTCTCCAATCCATTCTTGGTCCTTGTACCTGCCAGCATGACTCACTACCTTGGACAGATTCCTGGGCATCCAAGGCCGCCATGCTCTCTCAGCAGCACATGGCGATCCCCAGGTGCCAGCCAGTCTTGCTGCTCCAAGGGCCTGTATTTTTGCCTCTCTCTGCATTACTTGATAACTTGCTTTATGTCCTGGAGCAGCTCCACTCCACTCCTCATCAGCTGATTGCTACTCCAGGAAGTGCAGTGTCTCTATTTTCCCCTGTCCTGGGCATGTTTTGGAGCTGGCACCTGTCCTCAGGAGTGGCACACAGCTCTTGGTAGCCAGTCACTTGGTTGCCCACCCCAGTGAGGTGCCAGTCTGTGTTCCTGGCCATGGCCAGCTCAGGTCTCACACTGCTGAAGGCACCAAGCAGAACTGAACCTGCAAACTCCCTGAAGGCAGGACTAAATGGGCCCAGAAGAGAGAGACTGGGCAACCTCAGAGGTGATAAATCCTTTAGCAGCTTTGAACAGGTGAGTAGGCGGGATGCTCCTGCTGGGTCAGGCACCCCTTCAATAGGTTACTGCCAAAATCTGACCAAGGATGTAGGGGGAGGATCCCTTCTGCCTATGACTAATTTTTTTCCTGGAATAGCTACAATATTCACTCTTGGAGAGGATGCTGAGTGAGACAGACCTTCAGTTGTGTGCCCTGATGGTTCTGGTTTCTCCTATGGGGCTTGCTTATCAGTGATTAGAAATCCAGCCTCATTAATTGCTTTCTGAGAACTTTTACTGAAAATGAGTGCCTGCACTTACAATGACAGGCTGATTTACCATCTTCCTGTGGCTTTTGGTGTCTTTGACATAAATTTAGGCAAGACAGACAACCTGGAATTATGATAGGTCAGGTTTATTTATGAGATCCTTGCTCATAACTGTTCACACAGCTTCTCACTTACCCCTGAGGTTTCACTATTTAAAATTTGATGTCTCTGCTCTGTAAGAAGGGAAAGAGCAGCAGGAACTGTTGCCTGTCATTGCATTCCTTCTGCATCACAGCCAAGGGTTGTTACAACCCGTCTTCTTCCTCTCTGGGCAACGTTTCTTTCTGTTAATTAGCACATCCTCTTTTACAAGCTGATTACAGAAGTGCCTGCACAGCAGAGGAATAGGACACAGTACAGGGAGGAAAATGAACCCTGGACCAGAACAGCTGGTCTGCATGGCTGACACCCAGAAATCCAGTCTGGAAAAATGTTGTGGGAAGGGAAAAGGGAAAGTAAGGAAGAATATTAGCAACAAGAAATTGAGGGGCTGGGTAATAATTCTGTAATTACTGAGGAAAACTGGTTCTGAGAAAGGTGTCTGAATACACCTTTATGAACAAACCTTCTCACTCAGAACTGGCAGCTGTGGAAATGGCGTGTGGCTCTCAGAATGCCCAGTGAGCCTCCCAGCAGTCCATGGACAAACACAGCCCTGCTTTTTCAGCTGCCCTGGAACACATGCAATGGGTACATTATCCATCTGCCAGAGATGTGCTTTCGGTTGTCCCTCCCAACTCTCCTTCGCTGAAGCCCTCGGACCATGGTGGAGATTGAATTTCCTGACTGACCTCCCTGTCCCCAGGGAAGAAAGGGGAGCTGTGGCTTGGTGGAGATTCAGGTTTCACAAGTCTACCCAGTTCAGATGGGATTTTTGCAGATGAGCCAGTTTGATATCAACTGATCCCTATGCTGCAAAATCCAGTGAGGGCAGGAAGGGGCTGCTGACAGTGCTGGAGCCTGTGAGAGCAGCTCAGAAGACCATGACAAGCACCTGTTCAATGCACCACTTTTCCTGCACCTACTGCTGCAGTCCAGGAGCACAACAAGCCTTCATGCCAAAAACTAGCTGGGTGCAAAGCAGAGGCTACACACAACTTGTATGAGCAAGCACAGCTCGGGCTTTGCAGAGCTACTGACGCTGCTTTGAGTGCAAGGCCCACCTATGGCTCTGCCCTGGCAGCACAGCCTGCACCTTGCTGGGTGGAGGGCAGAGAAGGAGAAACTATTTTTAGCTGATGTGGCAGCCCAGCTTAGTCCCAGCAGGGTTGACACTTCTCATCCCCTCAGACAGGCCTGAGTGTTTTGCAAAAATCAGCATTTAAAAAGCAGATCAGTTGTGGTAGCTCTTGGGGAGGGAGGTGAATGGTGACAGGTATTGTTTAGCTCTCTGTCCCTTCATAGTGTATGAAGAACAGGACAGAAGCCAGAGAGAGTTACCTGGAGCTATACTCTACAGCAAGGAGGACACCAGTTGCCTGATGTGGGTTTTACGTCCCTGCCAACTTCCTGCTTATCCCAGGCAAGAAAGAATTAGTTTTAAAAATACTGAGATACTTTGTGACATGACTTCACCTCCCAACTCCCACAGCTGAGGAGACAACGTCAGCCTCATGTGACACAAGGGGGTCTTTATTCTTTCTTTCCTCAAATAGCTGTATGTCACCACTAAGTGCCACTAACTTTCAGCTCTAACATTGTTCTGGCAGTGGGTAACATGGCCAGCATGGATAAAGACACTGCTGCCCAGCACACACACACACACAGAGGAACGTGCACATCCACTGCCAGCTGCAGCCCACAGACACAGCAGGCTGGATGCTCTTAGCCTGTGTTGCAATCCAGCTGGCCTACCAAAATAAGCATATTTACACACCCAAATAAACAGTGGAAAAAGCCCAGCTGAACTGTTGACCAGAAAAGTTAGAACAGGAAGTAACTAAAGAAAACCAAAACCTGTTATATTTGAAGGGCTTGGTTTGTTGGGTTTTTTTTTAACTGACTCTCATCATTAGTAAGTGCTGAAACACTGTTTTGAATCGTGTGAAGCCTCTGGTACTGGGGAGCAAAGGCTCAAGCCTTTCTGAGCTTCTGGAGGGGCTCCTAATCCACCAGGGCAGCTGTACCCACTGTCCCTGTCAGTGCATGCCATGGAATACTTTTTCCCTTTTTTTTTTTTTTTAATCACTTTTGTTTTATCACTTCCCCAGTTTACAAGCACCCTTGGTGTTACTTCCTTTCACATGACCCCAGAGAGGGATTTTTCTGGGCACAGACTGATTCATTCTTGGGTGATTGCTGCAAAGGAGCTCCTGATTTTGGCCTTTTGACCCTGGCCAGGTCCCCTTTCTGCTCTTTGGGCTCCCCTGTGAGACGTACATTTAGGAAGTGGTGCAGGAGAAAGGCGAGGATGATCTTTCCTCACCGAACAAAGGACTCTAGAGGCTCCTCGGGACCCCCTCAGCCTTTCTGCACACACAGCACCGCTGCAGAAAGCAGGATTCACAGGCGGTCACAGACAGCCGCTGTCACAGGGGACCCCGGCAGGCCTCAGCTCCTCCTTCAGGCGGCTCGTTCGCAAGCATGGGACACGCCTGCGAAGGGATGGTAGGGATACCCCTCCATCAGCCACCTGCAGGAGCACCTACACACCGAGCGATGCTCTTGCTTTCCTCCTAGAAGGGAGAGGAAATCAATCCTCTCTGCGACCCTCGCTGCCCCAGGGCCGGCATGTCGCCGCTCGGGGCGGGGAACAGGGGAACAGGAGCAGCTGCGATCCCGGGCCTTCCCCCCAGCTAACCCTGCGGTTCACCCCTCCCGCCCCGCTGTGTGGGCTGAGCCCTCCCTGCCCAGCGGCGGCGGGAGATGGGATCTGCCCGCGGGAATTCCCCACGCCGCCACTGCGGCCGCCTCCCGGCAGCAAAAGGGCTCCGGCATCCAACATTTACTTCTTCACCTACAAGTACGGTCTGGAAACAACCCAAGCGGGGAGAGCAGGCGATACCTGGTGAGGAGGAGGCCCCGGTCCCGCCTGGAAGAGCCGGCGTCCCGGGCAGCCTGTCCCGGGCCCGGCTCGGCGCCGCGCTGGGTGAAGGAGCTGTTTGTGCCCAGGCCCCGGCTCAGGCCGCCCCCGGCGCTGGCAGCGCTCCCGGAGCGCCCGGCGGCCTCTGCCAGGGCCGGGCTCTCTGCCGCCTGCCAGAACTTTCCCCCCTGATATTCCCTGATATATAAACGGGACCCGCTGTGCTGCAGGGAATACACTGTCCTTTTCCGTCCCTCGCAGGCAGTCATGTTGGAGTGCTTTGGAGCTGCCTGAGGATTGCCGCAGCGCTTGGCAGTCGCGGGGCGGCCGGGAGGGGAACTCCAGCCACCGCAGGTCGCTGAGGAACGAGCGGGCTCCTGCCAGACCGCAAATCCCCAATGAGCGCGGCAGGCAGGGCTGTTTTCGGCAGGAAAACACGAGTTTGTCAAAAACAAACCTCTCTGCAGGAGACCTGGGATGAAATTGCGTGCCGTATACCTCGGTTTATTGCCTCCCGGGCATTAGCCGTTGTCAGGATATTTTGGCTAATGTTTGACAGCCTGAGCATTCGTCCCTGAACACTCCGAGCAGGACAATATTTGCCGACCGCTCCCCTCCAGCCCTGTCCAATGGATCTTTGAAGCAGGTGCCTTTTCTCTGTAGCCATTTGAATTCAGACCAGCAGCCATCCAAAGGGTATCTGTGTGAAGAGCAACAGCGGGCACCACACACGGTGGGTTGTTCTTGCCTCCCAGTCTAGCTGTGCTCTGAAAACTAAAGCCACGGTACATTACACATCACTGATCTTTAAGATACATAAATTTTTAAAGGATTTTCCCTTCAACAGTGACAGGAATAAGGCATAATTCTCCCAAATTATTGTATAGCTAGATTTTTCTGAGTGTTCTGAAAATAGGGGATTAAGACAGGGAAGGCAGCAGAGGAACAGAGCTTTGCTTGTTTAGAAGTTAAATTTTTGATGGGCTTGCTGTATTGTAAAATGAACACTGGTCTAAGTCATTGCAGGATATCTGCAATAGGTTTGGAAAGGATCCTTTCACATATGGAAATCTACAAATATAAACGGAGGTTGCAGTTCCAGCTAAGATAAAAAATGCCTGCTACTTCTCCTCCTGAGATTCTACTGCTTATTGCTTAGAACTTTGCCAAATTTGAATGATTTGGATCAAAACGTTCTGTGACAGATGTTTGTGCAAGTCTGGATGTTTCAGGGAATTCTCAGTGTGTTGTTTCCTGAGAATAATATGAAGGAAATTCAAGCTGATTTGGGATAACAAATCCAATAATATTATTGAAAAGAATATTCTAGGGCCTAAAGTATTTTGCAAAGGTGAACAAACACATTGTGTTTGGTAAAGTGCAAGTCATGATTTGTGTGTTTGGGAAGAGACTGCCAGCCTTCTGGCACAGAGCAAACACAGCCCTGATTGTACTTGGAGCTCTTCCTGAACCATGACTGGCAGTGGCACCCCAGCACACCACCAACTCAGCTTGAGCAGTGCTTAAGAAGTGTTTCCTTTCACCTTAGCTATCCTGAACAGAGCCACAACAACAGGCAGAAATGACCTCTCTGAACACAGCAGTGCTGACCTATTTCAGATCTTGTGATGGCATGCACCATTTTTCTGCCACTTCTTTAACCAGTTCAAGTCAAGCATCAGTGTCCATGGCAAGTTACTGTTTCAGCAAGGAGTTTCAGCTGTGCCTCACTTTGCTGTTGTCCCATGTTATTTACTTACTTCTCAGGGAATTCTCTCTCCACGAGGAAGAACCCAGCAGTGATGACATTCCTATTGAAAAGCTTTGTGAAAATATTTACTGAGAGATAGCCCAACCATTTAAGGATGGTTGTTTTGCCATGCTCCTGATTACCTCAGGCAAATCCACTTTTTAATCTCATCACTGGCAGTGGAGAAAATCTTTACAGGAATCATCCCTTGATGCTGTTTTGTTCTTATTCCTATGCAAGTCTGTTCATCTCCACGTGGATTATGAGGCAATGTTAATAAATAAATGCCTGTGAGCATTCCATAGCTGGATCCTGTTTATCTGCAACAAATGCCCAAGCAGTATCCGTGACTTGTATGTTAGCCAGGAGTGCAGGGACAGAAGAGTGGGTTTGTCCCTAAATGAGATATTCCCCATTACTTCTGATTATTCATACATCTAGTAATTTTTTTAAAGTGTTGTTTTGTCCAGAAACTAGAATCTGTAATCACTGCTTATATACCAGTCATACAAAAAAGGATATTTTCCCATATGAAGTATATACTTCTTAGGCTTGATTTTTCTCAGCTTGATTGAACTCAGTGCTCTTGAAATCAGTCTATCAGGCTTGATTTAAATTTCTCAGCTTTAGCAGCAACTATTTGGACCATTCACTCCAGTTACTTTCAGAGAGGAATGTAAATCACCTGGCAAGGATGCATGAAGCCTTCAAAATGCAAATTATGAAGGAAAGCAATGAGTGTAACTTGATCAGAAAATACAAGATTAATAAAATATGCATGGAAAGTTGATTCATTTGCACTAATCAGAGATTTAAGGGATGTGAAGAATAAATAGGTTCCTTAGATGCTCTAAGGGGACAAATAACAAGAGCTATGAATTGCTGCCATTCTTATTTTCCTTGCACTGTCAGCCCACTCCAGTTCCCTCATGAGGAAGCTCTCGTTATTCTTCACAGGCACTGAACACCACGTGCTTGTTCTGTCATTCCTGTGGTCACCTACTCTTATGGTAACTCCCCCATTCCTCAATATCTGCAGCTATTTTTGTCACTACTGGACGTGTCTGAGGGACTACTGCTCCAGTCAGCTCATACAAACAAAGGCAAGCAAGAACCATGTTTTTCCTGCAACTGAAATGGAAAACATGTCACATTTTTAATGCACCTTTAGTCATAGTCACCACTTAACACATTACCCAAATCTTGGTTTACACTTGCAAAGACAAACAGGGAAAAGACACACACATGATATTTGCCATCCTAAACCATAGGATCTCCATGGAATGCCAAAACACCAGCCAGGCCTCTTTAAGGGAGTGTGAACCAATTGAAGAGTTGGTGATAGAAGTTCATTAAATCAGGTAAAGATTAAAAAGTGTGTGTCTGACTTTATTCTTGCACATAATTGCAGATAATAAATACACATTAAAAAAACCCCATTAAAATATATTGTATTAAATCCACAAATTCTGGGTAAACAAACTTTCCTGAGTACCTACTTCCCCCATGTCACCAAAAGACACACTCCATGTAGTACAGAATCTTGTACAAAATTATTAGGCTATCAGAACATAGATGTGTTTTAGTCTTTCTTCCTGTGAGAGCTAACTAATTGTCAGCATTGAATAGAATTTTCCCTTATGGAATAGACTCAGTTTTTGTCAACTCTCTATTTTCTTTTTAGTCCTTGTGTCTAATTTCTCCCGCAGGAATCTGTTCTAGGATTCAGACAAACATGTTTCAGATGTTTGTAAAGGGAGCAGGATGAATCCAGAGCCTCCTTTTTGCAGTCACAAATGCCTTTCTGGACCAAGAGCCCACGGCACAAGTGAGCTCACCTTTTCCTAAGCCTTTCCAAAAGGAACTCACAGGCCATGCACTGCTGAGCCCAATGCCACAGAGGCTTCCTAAGTGACTGCACCTAAGGGGTTGGTAAAAGAAACCTGTGGAAGACACGGGAGAATGCCAATAAGTCCTTCATTGCCAGAGCTGGGATGTCAGGCCATTTTGTCTTTCCACGAAGCCACTACACAAAAGCCCTCAGCCTTCAAGGAGGATTCACCCCTTGTTCAGACATTCAGGGTACCACCCAAAGCATATGATAACCACACATGATTTGCATAGCATTTTTTTCTGCATAGTTGGTTAAATTACAGAATTTAGAGAAATTGAATGAAGCTGCTAAAAGTAGAAAATACATATTTTTGTATAAAATGTTAAATGTTAAAAATACAATTTTGAAATGCCAAGCACATGTACTTATTATTTTTCCTTAGTTATCATTAAACTAATAATAGTTGCTCTTATTCTTACATTTACCCCAGAAAGGTATGTCCTTAACAAACTGCAAGGCTATCTAATAAAACTGGATATCAAATATCAGACAAAAACATTTGCCATCATGCAATAGTGACCAGCAATTAAGGCAGATAAGGACTCTAATTCATTATCTCACAGAACCATTGTGTAACTGCAGAGACATTGATGAGCATAAAAAATTTGCAGTAAGATAAGGATGACAAATACAAACATAAAAGGATTTGTGAACTGAAGTGAGAAACTATGAAAATTAATTATTCTTATGAGCACTGAAATGAAAATATGCCCCATAGGAACAGAAGCATTTGTTCTCAAACTCAGTGCTCTCTTGCAAGAGGATTAAAAAATTCTATGAATATTTAAGAGAAAGAAATCAACTCACCCTGATTTTCCTACATTTATAATGCATGGCTAGTGTTAAAACATATTTTTGCCCATATGGAAAAAACAAGTAAATAGAAATGCTAGAGACAGAGAGATACAAAATATTTCCTTTTTTTTTTTAAAGTAATATTCTTCCTCAGGATACCACAAGGCAATCTCTAAGCTATTGATGCATAAAATCACAAAACATGTACCTGTTTTTGCCCATATGGAAAAAACAAGTAAATAGAAATGCTAGAGACACAGAGATACACGATATTTCCTTTTTTTAAAAGTAATATTCTTCCTCAGGTTAAAGAATAGGATACCCCAAGGCACTCTCTACCCTATTGATGCATAAAATCACAAAAGATGTACCTGTAAATCAATAAACATTTTATTTCAAAGGAAAAACAGTAACATCATTAGTTCAGGGAAATTCAGGGGTCATTTGAATTAAAGACCAAATACCAACTGACTTCAGTAACGGAAGCTTTTGGGGTTGAACAAGCTACATTGTAGTCTAGACTCATAATTCAATTTTAGTTGTAAGCAGTATCAGTATCATTGTGTATTTAACTTTCTTCTTGTTATTTTCTTCACCTTATGTGTACTGATTACACATGACCAGATCCTGAATCCCTCAAGCCAAAGGAACACAGAATATGCTTTGGGTGTTCTTGGCGAGGTAAGGCCGAAATCAGTTACTCAGCAGGTAAGGAAGTAGAAAAATTAATTGTAAATATTCTTTAATACCT